TTTTCACATTTTCATTAAATTTTATGTCCATGAAAACCTCATTACAGGAGCAGGGATATAATGCTGTGAGCAGCTTGAGCTGTCCTAAAGCTGTGAGTGCTCAGACTGAAGGATGTTTGGGCTTGATTTTTTGGAGAGCACGTATTTTTCTGATAACCAAAGGCCAAAGCAGAGCTGCCAGGAGGGTGGTGGGAGATGCTGTTGAGCAGGAGGAGCCCGGGGCAGGCAGTGGGTGCTGCAGGGGAGCAGCTGAACCTGCAGCTCCTTAAAACGTCTCCTAAAGGCTCCTGGCTTCCCTCCCAGTGCTGGGAACATTTGGAAGGGGGAGCAGAGCCTGGCTTCCCTCAGTGCTGCTCCACTTCACTTTGTGAAAATGCGAAGGCTTTGGATGACGCACCGTTCTCAGGAGATGGAGCAGGAGAGGGTGGATGGATGGGGCTGATGGGGAAAATCCAGTGAAAATCAGGTTTCTCCAATAAGAATTTGTTCAAATGTGAAAGCTTGAGCTCAGCCCACCCTAGATGTCCCTCTGTGACCCCTCTCTGTGCCCCTGCTCTCAGGCTCTTCCCAAAGCCAGCTTGATTCCCACAGGCACGTTTGCCAATTTTCACTTGCTGCCTCCTGCTCCAGGGACAGCTCAGAACCCCTCTTGGAACCCCCCCTGGCACAACATCCCTTTCCACGAGGCATTCCCTGGGCTCTCAAGGATTCACTTGTCTGATTCTAAGGCTCAGAGATGCCCCTTGTCACCCCAGCAGTCTCCAGCCAGGATGCTCTGGGAACAAAAAGCACTCCCAGGTTTCCCGAGTGTTTTGGATGCCACACAAAGGATCCTGTTTATTCCAACCTGCCTTTTGCAGTTTCACCAGCACACACACAGACCTGAGAGCACGAGGGGCTGCCAAGGGACCTGTCTGGTTTTTAATAACAGCATCAGTTGCAATAAATAGAGATGGTTGTTTGGGTCTTAGTCACCTAATAGAAATGTTTGTGCTTGAAGACATGATTCAGCTCTTGCAGGCTGTTCTTCACCTCACATCCTCCATGGGGTTTGGGAAATGATGGAAGAAGAGGCTTTGTAAGAGTTCTACAGCGTGTGTTTCACTTGTTGTTTGATATTTAATGTCCCTTTGGGCATTAAATAAAAGTAGAAAGCTGAAAACCAAGCCAGCAAACCTGAGCACTGACACAGCAGACAAACATCTCTGTGGCTCCCAATGTGCAGATGAAGGTGTCTTTGCTTCTGATTTAATGCCTTGATTGATGAGACTAAACCCATGTCTTTATAGCCAAGTTTCCTGCATTCTTCTTTTTGTTTTGCATACATCAGTCTAGGAGTTACAGAGCTCTCTCCTTTTTTTATGGTGAGTTTGATTATTCCTTCTTGAGATTAATGACAGCTTTGACAATTCCCTACCTCTGCATTCCTGGGTAACGACAGCCTCAACCCCCTGTGTGTTCTGCAAGTGCTGCTTGCAGCCTTGGGAACACTGAATTTAACAAGAGCTGGATGGAAAGAGCATAAACTTGTGTGAAATGCTGAGTTGTGAGGCCACAGGGCTGAGGGGGTTCCCCAAGTGCTCTCCCTGCCAAGATCTCAACTTGACACTAAAGTTGCTTATTTTGCAGTGGGCCACTTTTTGCAGTTTTCCTTGTTATTAATTCTCAGACTGTGCCCTGTGAGTTGATTTTTTGATGCTGCTTTTTTGGTGCTTTTTGCCTTGTCCTTTCATTCCCCACAGGCTGTATTTGTGCCTGGCAAGTGGAGATTCACATGAAATTCATTTGACACGCACAACATCCGCAGCGTCGGAGCCTCGGCTCGGGCTCTGCCGTGATTGGAGATTCACATGAAATTCATTTGACACGCACAACATCCGCAGCGTCGGAGCCTCTGCCGTGATCAAATTCACTCCACGCTCTGACAACAATTCCAGCTGGGAGCAGATCCTGTGTCGCTGTTCCCGACGCCCTGGCTGCTCCGCCCTGCACTGGGCATTTCTCCTGGGAGAAATGGGAGAAGTTTCAGCTGGAGCATTTCCCCTGGGCACCTCCTTGCCCTGGGGTGATGGGGACCCTGAGTGATGCACCCAAAAAGGCAAAGCTTGCCCAAGTTTTGGGAGGGAAGCATGAGCTGGCAGCTCCTGGGGCTTAAGTGATGCCCCAGCCCACCCTCTCCAGGAGCTGGATGGATCCAGCTGTGCTCCTGCCGGTGCCCAGGGCTGGGGAGGGGCTGCAGCCCCCCAGGCATGGCCAAGGCTCCCGCTGGTGGGGCTGTCCCCATTCCCTCCTGGCAGGGGGTTACTGGGGGCTGGAGCAGGGCAGGGACCCTGTGACACGAATCCCTGGAGCCCTGTGGATGGCTGGACTCGGATGATGTGCTCTGTGGATGACGACTTTCTCTCACTCTCGCCTCTGACTCATCCCACTGTTGCCTCCCACAGATTTATTTATTGTTCTCCCAGACGCAGAAACAGCAGAGTTGAGTCTCCCTGCCCCGTGCCAGGCCCCTGCTCGGCCAGCTGGGCTGGGGTCTCTCAGAGCCCTGCAGCCATCCCTGGGGGTTCTCAGCCCGGGGGTTTGCCTTCCCTGGGAGCCCCCCTGTGCTGCCCCCCGAGCCTGGCTGTGCTCTGGAGAGCAGAGAGCTCTGTGTTCACACACAGCACCTGGACGTGGCAATGGCACTCGGGGTGTGCTGCTCACCCCCTGCCCCTTGCAGTGTGTGCTCTCCTGCTCAGGGTCTGGCAGGAGTGTCGGGGTGCTGAGGGGGCTCCCCAGCAGAGCTGTTGGGACTGAGGGAATCAGAATAGCCCTGTAGTAGGAGGTGCATGAAATCTTTATTAATTGCATTTTGTGTCAATGTCTGCTGGGAAATGAGGACTTATAGCATCGATAGCATTTTGGGGAGGGCTGCAGTTGGAGGCAGGAAGCTCCAAAATTCTGAATGACACCTTTGCTGAGGGCACTGCCCTGCCTTCCTCTCTTGGTTTCAGGGAATTGCTCTGTGCTGGAGCTGGGAGCAGTCCCCAGGACCTGAGCTCTTTCCTCAGGCAGGATGCCACCACATTTTCAGCTTGATCCTGTGGTGGCCTGAGCAGCTGCTCATGGTGGGACTGGGGTGGCACCAGCGTCAAGGGCAGGCAGAACCAGCCCCACTCTGCCGTTCAAACTCCAGCATTTGGATGGGGATGTCCTCTTCTTCTGGCTCTTTCTCTTTCATTTTTCATTTCTCTCAGCATCTGAGTGTTTTAAATAATTCCTCCCCCAGGCCTGTGTTATCACCCAGCATGTCAGCACGCTGCTGTGCCACCCACCCCTCTCCTCGCGGAGCTGCACGTTAACACTTTGCACCAGATAATGTGAGGCAATTAGTGAATGGAGAATAACCTTCCCACTTAAAAGCAGGATGGGCCGGGAAGCATCACACGGCTGGATTGCACGGGGAGTATTAATTGCTTTTCTCTCCAATGACTCCGGGTGTAGGAGAGTCCATATGGAGAGAGAGGAGGAGGGAGTGATGCTGCGGGAGAAACGAAGTCTCCGGTGCTGGAGAGAAGCGCAAAGCCCAGCGCATCCGAGTGGGGGCACTTCCCTGTGGATCCGGAGGCTGTGGCACAGCGGGGGTGCGGATCCACCGTGTCACCGTGGATCACACGGGCCCGGGAGCGGCGGCTGCGGGCTGCGAGGGTGGGGAACCCCCGGGCTCAGCGGGGCTGGGGGAAAGCAAAGCTCTGGGAGCAGCGGGATGCCAGCGAGGATGGTGCCACCTTCCCTGGGTGCCACTGAAGCGCTGCGTTGGGTGACTGAGGTGGCACAGGCGCTTTGCACAAAGCACAAGGGGCTGTGCGGGCACTGCGGGAGCAGTTCCTTTGTTGGGGTGTCTGCTCACCAGCACAGCTCCCACAAAATGGCACCACAGCGAACTCCCCAGCGCCCGCACAACGGCCTGGGCTCGGAGAGAGGAACGAAGGAAGAAGCAAAAAAGGAGAGGAGTGTACCGAGCCGGGGCAGAACGCCCTGCCGTGTGCCGGGGACGCTCGGTGCGACCCTGCTCGGAGACGCTCCCTTTGCAGCCGCTCACATCTGCCAGGGGACACGGGTTTGGGGCGCTTCACGTTCGGCCACATCGCTACTGCTGGCACCTCCTGGGGCTGAACTTGGAGGGGAGGGAAGGCACCTTGGAGCCCATCCCGTTAACCCTTTCCTGGAGGATGCCGGCTGGTTTCCAGGCTGCCCACGCTGTCCCTGGCCCGGGGCCATTCCCCAGCGGGGCCGTGTTTGTGCAGCGGGGCCCCCCGGGAAGATCAACGCTCCCGGCCCGGCCGCGCAGCACGGCACAGGAATTGCCGGGGCTTGGCCGCGCTGTTTGCTTTCGGCACAACCCCGAGGCGCAGCAGCGCTTAGCACAAATATTTGTGTGGGTAGTGGAAAAAAAAAAAATCCATCCAAATAAAAAAGAAATGGAAATAACCAAAGGAAAAAAAAAAGAAGAAAAGAAAAGAAAAAATAGAAAAGGAAAGGAAAAAAAGGAAAGGAAAAAAAGAAAGAGAGGAGAAAGGAAAGGGAAAGGGGAAATGACGGGGAAAAGATAGGGGAACAGGAAAAAGGAGAGAAAAAAGGAAAGGAAAAAGGAGACAAAAAAGGAAAATAAAGAAAGCAAGCCGCCCAAAGGTCGCGCTGACAGACGCCAGAGGCGAAGCGCCGCGGCCCGGGGGGATCACCGGCTGCTGCCCAGCCCGGGGGTCGCGGGGGCCGGGGCGAGGCCGTCGGGGGCAGCTCCTGGGGGGGAGGCGAGCGCGGCCGCCGGTGCGCGTTGGGCGGAGCCCGGCCCCGCCCGGTGCGGCCCCGCCCGCCCGTCCTTCCCCGCCCATCCATCCCTCCCATCCCCGCGCATCCCGCACCTGTTGCCGCCGCTCCCCGCGGAGCCGCCCGGCCCCGGCATGCGGAGCGCCCGAGCGGCCCG